CCCTTGCTGTGCTAGCTTCAGGATTAGATCTTTCAGTACGAAGCACTTTTCCGTTGGATGACTGATGAAGCGGTGGAATTTACAGTATCTTGGGTTGTCGGTACGATTCATCTCTTCCGGTCGTCTGCACTCAGGCAAATTGATCACCTTCTTGTCCAACAGGTCATCCAGCATGGCAACTACATCAGAGTCGGGGAATGGATAAATCTTCTCCTCAAGCTCCTTCAAAGTGCGTCTACGCATCTCTTGATCACGAAAAGCTTCTGTTTGACTCGCCTTGCCTCGTGTGGAGATTTTGACGGGAGCTGTGTTGACCGTCATCGCTTCCTTGGTGGGTTTCCATGCAGCCTTTTCCACCTTTGTCCCAAGAACTTTGTTGTTCTTGTAGTCGGCGATCGGTTCTTTCTTCCCATGATGGGCGATGCTCAACTCCATGTCATGGGCGCGAGTGGCCAATTCCTCGAAGGTCCGTGGTTTAATGCCTTGAAGGATGTATTGCAAACCCCATTGCATGCCTTGGATGCACATCTCGATTGAAGAGGTTTCCGAGAGCCTATCTTTACAGTCGAGGCTTAGAGTGCGCCATCTGTTGATGTAGTCAATGACTGGCTCGTCCTTCCACTGCTTTGTGCTTGTTAGCTCTAGCATGCTCACAGTGCGGCGGGTACTATAGAAGCGGTTGAGGAATTCCCGCTCTAATTGCTCCCAACTGTTGATGGACTCAGGCTCTAGATCCGTGTACCACTCAAAGGCGTTTCCTTTCAGCGAGCGCACAAACTGCTTGGCGAGGTAATCTCCTTCGGTTCCTGCGTTGTTGCAGGTTTCAACGAAGTGGGCAACGTGCTGTTTCAGGTTTCCCTTTCCATCAAATTGCATGAACTTTGGTGGTTGATAACCCCTCGGCATCCTTAAGGCGTCGATCTTCTTTGAATACGGCTTTGAGTACAACCCGAAGGTATTTGAGCTCCCTTCGTACTGTGCCTTGATGGTGTTGGTGATCATCTCTTGCAGCTGCTGGATAGAAAGAGATCCCATGAGTGCCACTGCTTGGTCTGGCTCGGGCTTTGCATCGTTTTTCTCCACCTGAGGCTCATCTTCTGGGTTAGGGTTCTCGTCGTCCTGTGGCTCCAGTCGGCTGACGAGTGCAGCGATTTGCAAGTCTTTTTCTTCCACAGTTCGGGTTAGCCTTGCGATTGCTTCATTCATCTGAGCCAGTTGTTCTTCAACGGAGGTAACGCCGATAGTCATGACTTGTGCGACCAATAGACGTGACTTTCCTTTAGACATCCAGGATGCTGATGAAGAACGTTGTTGGCTGCTTTGAGATGTCATCTTATGTGCCTCAGCATCATGCTTCGGTGCCCCCAACGAGGTCAGGTTGATGACAGACTCACACCTTGGATGCTCCCCTTGCTCTTTTAGCGGCACCAATTTTGAAGTGGCATGTTGAGGAGCGGTTGTGGCGCCAATGGATTGTCCGTTTGCGGCAGAAGTGCTTAGGATCCTTCCCTTAGTGGTTGCAAGAACGGCTTGTCCCTTGCTTGATGCCATTGACTTTGAGGTGTGCTTGGATTCCTTGAACGGAGAAAGAGATGAGAGGTAGAGATTATCCCACCGGGCGTGCCAATTTGTGAACACGGAAAATTCCTGAAACGAAAGAGACAAGAACGACGTGCACAAACAAATATTTGTGTTTGATTTGATGATTTTGGGTTACAATCTCTCTCTATTTTGATCCTCTGATTCGATCTCCGTAAGGTGTTGATTTATGGGATGTGCGATTGATCCAAGGGCCGTCGAGGCTTGATCTTGGATGAACGAGGATGAACGGATCTTCAAGGGCTTTTGGGCTTGATCTTGAAGAATGGTGATTGACGGATCTTTAAGGGCTTTTGGGCTTGATCTTGAAGAACAGTGATGAACGGATCTTCGAGAGCTTTTGGGCTTGAACGGATCTTCGAGGGCTTTTGGGCTTGATCTCGAAGAACAGTGATGAACGATGAACGCTTTCTTCAAGGGCCGTCGAGGCTTGGGCTTGATGAACAACGGATGAGCGGATTCGTTGATGTTGTCGATCCAAAGGGGCCGTTGGGGCTTGATCCTTGAGGATGAACAGTTGATGAACGATGAACGATGAACGCTTTCTTCAAGGGGCCGTTGAGGCTTGGGCTTGAAGGTGGATGATTGTTGATCTAAAGGGCCGTCGAGGCTTGATCTTAGGATGAACGAAGAACGAAGAACGAAGAGAGCTTTCTTGATTCTTCGGGAACCTGGATGCTTGAGAGCTTCGGAGTTTCAGAGCTTCAGAGCTTGCTTAATGATTTTGGTTCCCCTTTAAATGAATGAAATGGGCTTGTATTTATAGAAATTTCCAAGGCCTAATTTTGAATATAATATCCCAGATGAAATAAGTCGTTTCTGCCAGGTGTTGACACGTGTCCTATTTGATGACTTTTCCAACTCATTTCAATTTTCGTTGAGTCACACGCTACGTGTAAAATTTATGTAATACATGAGCGTTGACACTTTGATTTATCGGTCAACATTTATTTACCGAAATTTCGATGTCTACTTTAAGAGTTTTTAAACCTTGTTTTAGAGTTTTTAAGTCAGTTTCCAAGTGTTTTAAACCTTGTTTTAGAGTTTTAAGTCAGTTTCCAAGTGTTTAGCAATCCCTCCTAATCCCCGGTCTAGAACGATCCCTACTTACATCTTTACTACAATTTGACAAAAAGAGGGTTTAATTTGTGTGTTTATCTATTTCGCATCATATACACACAAACAAAAAGGTTTCTTGAACCAACATATACTTTTACATTCCCGCTTATGCCTCACTTCATCTTTCACTCATATCTCAATGCATACATACAAATAATTTTGGAGTTGTCTGCATCTCTATTACAATTTAACTAATGTTGCTGTTATCAAAGATTGTGATAATCTACAACTGCACAGTTTTCCCTAATTTTAACAAAGAAAATTTAAAGTTTCCAAAACAAGCATAATGATGATACATGAATCATACTTAATATATGAAAAGAATTTATACCTAAATAATTTGTCTATCTTTATGTCGATATTCTTCACGCATGCCCAATATTACAATGGTTCTACTACATTTTATAAATTGCTCACAAGATTGGTATTAATAGTAATGATTGCCTAACAACAAGATATTCTCCTCTTGCACAGGTTCAAGATCGACCTTATCGTAGAAGATAGCACTAATCAACACAACTTCCTCATGATAAGACATGCTAAAAAGATGCTTCGTGTCCCTTGCCATACTTTGGTGATAGAGGACGGCTATGACGATCCTTTCATCCTGCCACCAATTCTTAAAACTTTGGTCGGCAAGACAAAACAATTCCAAATCTCTTTTGGAAATCAAAACACTAACTTCGGGAAATCGTTAATGGACTACTCCATGACCAAGACCTCTCCAACCCAACTATTGCCTCAATCAAGCCACAAGCATCGACTACCACCGCAGGAAAACAAGTTATGAGCCAAACAACACCCACTCTGTTAATGACTTCCCAGCTGCTACAGCAACGACCCCAACCAATTGAACCGACCAAAACCTCAAAGAGAGTGTTGTTCACTGATGAAGCCAACAAATCTGACAGGTAAAGATTACTCTTGGCTGTATGTTTTGATGTTAATAAAAAAACTATCAACCAATCTCTTTGCACCACTGTTTCACCCAGTTTTCCATAACTATCACATTTCTATATATCCTCATATATTTTCCCTTAATTCACAGCAAGAAACCTCACAACGAGCAAATAGATACAACCAATTTTGCTAGAATTGCTGGTGAATTCCACAATTTGATTGTCCCCAAAATTGAACCCACCGAAAAAGTGTCGATTGCCGCACAAGACAAAATCTCAGGCAAAAAAATCAAAAGAAAGGTAAACTACAATTTGCTTTCCACCCACACACCTAAATGGTTTCCATGGTAAGAACGTTTCTTAAAATGTTATTTCTATTTTTTTGCTATAGTGTGGAAGATGTCTGCTCTCAGAAGAAATGCACAACCACAATCTCCGTCATCGAGTGGTACAAAATGTTTTGCATGTTTTTTGGTTTGAAAATCTGTGGTTGAAAAACTTCGCTACTAGAACAAAAACACAACACTTTTTATGTTTTTTGTTAAGTGCTCAAACAAATGGCTCACCTGCAGGACATGTATTTTTCCGCCTTTACTACAAGGAGAAAATATGTGTGAACTGTATGTTGCTTATGTTTTTTATATGGCTTATAGAAACAACCCTTCTATTTATTGCTTTAAACGTTTTGCCTTGACAAATTTGCTACTTAAACAAGTACAAAACACTTTCTATCATTTTTGTTCCTGTTACATATATTTCCCTATCTTCACTACAAGGGCAAAAGATGTGTAAACTGCATTTTGCTTCTGTTTCTACTGTTTATAACGGAAACAAAGCATTTTTTGTCACCACATCTTTAAAATAAAAAACGTTCAATTCCTTTTCATATTAGCTTGCTTAAATCTATATAAAAAACAAGTTACTTATCTTATCAATCTCATTCACTGATATATCCCTCTATTCATTTATTATTATGTTGAATTTATTCAGATAAATGTTTCTTATTCATCTAGTTACGATTAGTACACTGATTTCCCGTAGCATAGCGCGGGCTTATTTTCTCCTCTTCCCGTTTGTGGCCTGCTTGGTGCAGTGGAAAGACGGTTTTGCCCGTTCTTTCCACGCGTTTGTCATCCTGGGGTCTGTATGCTTCCAGATTTTTCTTTTTTGTTTAGCCCCTTCTCTGTTTTGCATTTTGTCTGAACTGTGCTTTATCCTCGGTCTTCCTCTCCGGTTCTTCTTCTTCGACATCTCTGGGTTGGAAAATATTGGGGTAAAAGTTTGTGATTTTCGTGCTTTAGGGGATCGTATTTGTGGTCTCTAATTTGAGGGGGGTTTCCCATCTGTTTAAACCTGGGGCTCTGGGTGTTTTTTCCACCCTGGTAAAATTGCTTCGCAACATTTTTGGGGTTGCGATCGACGGTGAATATTTTGCGGTCTTTGCGTTTGTTTCCGTCAGTTGTTGACTGATTTTGGCAGGATCTGTTTCGGGTTTTGTTTTTCGTTTGATGACCACTGAGGTATGTTCTCTAAGTACTGTTTTGGGTTTTGGTTAATTTGGATGAAATTGTAACCATTTTGTTTTGGGTCAGTTCTGATCATGTGTCTAAGAGGATATTTTTCATTTTGGTTCCTTGAGGTAGCGTTTGGTACGCAGACGGGACGGGACGGAACGGATGTTCTGTGTTGTGTTTGGTACGCGCAGGACGGAACATGCCAGTTGTTCCGTTCTGCGTTTGGTAGCGCATGGACGGAACGGAACCAAAAGATTAAAATGACTAAAATACCCATGTTCCGTTCTGCATTTGGTAACGCATGGACAGAACAGGACAGTTTTTTTTTTTTTTTTTTTTTGGTTCAAATTTGAACACTATTATCCATTATTTGTTTTTCTTGGTCCAAATTTTAATAGGTATATGTTGTGTTCCACATGCAAACCCTTTTAAAATTTGTAATTTTTAATCTCCCAGTTTTCTACAACTCCATTCAAATTTTCAGCACAAACCCATCAAATTTTATTATGCAAATTGCAAAACCCACACCCTGATTCAATTTTTAGTCCCTAATTTTGATCCTTTCAATTGTGGGTTGTTGTTCTGGGAGTTCAGGTTCTGCAAACATTAGAATTGGCCTTGATTCGATGGACACCCCTCTAAATATTCCCCATTGCATTGCGTGGCAAACCACACAAGAGCACAGGAGAAATGTTGAAGACCATGTTTCATGTTGTTCCGTTTTACGTTGTATTTGTTGTTTCGTGTGGTTTGGTTGGTTGTGGTTGTTTCGTGTGGTTTGGTTGGTTGTGGTTGATTATTGGAACCAAACACCGACGTCCGAACAGTAATGTGCTCAAAGGCATACTTTTCGCTTCGCAGGTAAATGAACCAGACTCGCATTAAACCACAAGCAAGCAATCTTAAGTCGACTCAAATAGATGGTAATAATATATAAAGCAAATTTCTTTGATCACTTGCATATCGAAACAAAATTTTTGAGATCTAGAACCATATCCAACTACAAATAGAAACTTAAAAACACAGCATTGGTCTGAAAGTAATACTGAAGATGTCAAGTCTTGATACAGGAAACGCACCAAAAGCAAGTCCCTTAGTCGAAAAGGCTGAAACCCATATCCTACAAAAAAGAAAAAAACGATTTTAGTAGTTATTAAACAATCACAATAAAATTAGAACAGCCCAGCTTGCAAACAAAGCAAACTAGATATTATCAACAGCTGCATTTGACATAATATACTTACATCGTCTGATTCTTCCTTTTCTTCCACCTTCTCCTCCTTCTTCTGCTCGGCAGCGGCAGGAGCAGCAGCCCCACCACCACCGGCGGCTGCAGGTGCGGAATAAGCAACTGCACCACCACCAGATGGAACAGATGCCAACTTCTCCCTTCCAGATGCGATTAGCTCGGTGATATCTTTTCCCTTGACTTCGGACAATAGCAACTCAATCTTGTCACTATCAGCCTCGGCTCCAACTGTAACCAAACAAATAATGAAGTTACATTTCAGAGTGCAAAACGTTGCTGTACAAATAATAATACACTTTTTTTAAATACTAGTACCAAGGGCAACCTAAGCATCTTCTCCGTGCAAACAGTACCTTGTCAAGGATAATTTACTACTAATGACACATCTCACATATGAAGGTATTTTCTAACTTTTCATCATCCCGGATAACATAATGACCGAATTCCAATGACAAAAACCACTTTCATTTCAATACAGAAATTCAACCATGCGCATGGATATAGGTTGCAAGACTGATTATCAAAATTCCATCTCAAGTTAAAATTAATAAAAACTAATAGACGAAATGAGCATTACGCAACCGAAATCTCCACAATTTTGTTTTAACATATAAACTAAATGAATAACTCTTTCATCCAAAAGTGGATGGGTGCAGGACTAGAACCCTTGCCAATGGTGTAGGGGTTAAGAGTTCAAAACAAATTCAAGCTAAGAGGACTAACATGACTAGGAAACCTGTATATAAAAGACTACATATACTAATTATCAGCATCCGTATAACAAACCGAAAAAATCCATCAAACATAAATTTAAATAAACCAAGAAAAGCCCACAAACGGAAATCCCAATTTAACACAAACAATACAATGACAATAATAACAATTTTAACTTGAATCGCACGTCGTTGCAGCAACAAAGAATTTTTTTTTTTAATATAAAAGTTACCTGATCCAAGAATGTCCTTCAAGTCAGCAGCTAGCTGAGGGGCTCGCCTTCCCTCCCAAAACAGCGAGCAAGTATGCAGCAACAACCTTCATCTCTGCCCATCCAAACATCACAAGGAATCAGACACACACACACATTTAAACATACACATACACGCATATACATATGAGAATCGGAAGAGAAATTCAAAGATTTATGCACAAAAAAATCAGATTCAATTTTCTCTGGTATTACGAAGATGGATGGAGGTATGTTGAGGAGAACTTACCGTATTACGTATAGGGTGAACAAAGAGAGAGCTTCGTAGCAGAGCTTCAATGGCGGCCGGATAGGGAGATGCAGATCTGAACAATTGGGTAAACAAAGAACTTACCGTATTACGTATAGGGTAAACAAAGAACAAATAAAAAACATTTGAACAATTGGTTTTCACTGTAATGCCATCAAATTACAAAGAAATTTTTTTACAGAGAAAGAGAGACCGAGAGCTACACAAAAACAGATCGAACCTGGAACGGAGATGCAAATCTGAAGATGCTATACGGAAGAGGATCGCAGAGCTGCTACACGGAAGAGTTGCGAAGGGGAGATGCAGAGCCGCTACACGGAAGAGTTGCGAAGGGGAGATGCGAAGAAGATGAGGAGGAAGGTTGCGAAGAGGGTCAGCGGCTGAGAAGAAGAGAAATGGTTTTTAGGGTTTGTTATATGATTTTGAACTCCGCCTATGTCTTACATGGCCGGTCCCAAGCCCGGATAAAGGAGGAGGGGGAGGGCGTCAGGTAGTCGACAGTCGGCACTCCATGATCACGTCGAATCCTTATGAAAATGAATCCAGAACAAAATCGCGCTAAAGCTAGGGCGTCACCCGTAAGTGGCGCGCTGTGTGGCCCGAGCACAGTGATAAGTGAGCAAGGGTCGCTGTATCTCCATCGGCACCCGGATGCAGTGTTAAATGAGCAAGGGGGCCATAGAAACTTCTTTTCGAACGACTCCACTCAAAGTTGTTTGGGAGCATATGCTCCTATCAACTTTACCCGGGACACACAAAAGAAGTACTTTGATCCTATTAGACGGGGGAGGGTGAAGAAGCTAGGACAGAAGGGTAGAGTTCAAGAGAGCAAAATGCGTTTAGGAACGTGGAATATAGGAACCTTAACGGGAAAATCTATGGAAGTAGTGGAAGTTATGGTGAGGAGAAGGATAAATATTATGTGCCTACAAGAAACTAAGTGGGTTGGTAGTAAGGCAAAGGATCTAGAAAACTCAGGGTTTTTAAACTTTGGTATTCGGGCACAAATAGAACGAGAAACGGTGTTGGCATCATCGTGGACAAGACCTTGGTACAAGATGTTGTAGATGTCAAGAGGGTAGGAGATAGAATCATGGCAATCAAGATTGTAATAGGACAAGAACTTATCAATGTGTGATTAGTGCGTACGCACCTCAAGTAGGGTTGGATACGAGTTCGAAGGAGAAATTTTGGGAAGATCTTGGAGACTTGGTGCAAGGAATTGCTCAGACGGAGAAGTTATTTATAGGAGGAGATTTAAATGGACACGTGGGCAGGGAGACAGGCAACTATGGAGGTTTTTCATGGTGGCCATGGTTTTGGGGAGAGAAACGAGGATGGGGAAGCTATCTTGGATTTTGCAATGGCATATGATCTCTTCTTAGCCAATACCTTCTTTAAGAAGAGAGAAGAACATGTGATCACCTACAAGAGTGGGTCGTCAAAAACACAAATAGATTTTCTTCTAATGAGGAAAGGGGATCGTATAACTTGTAAGGATTGCAAAGTTATACCAGGAGAGAGCGTGGCTAATCAACATCGCTTGTTGGTGATGGATGTACATATCAAAAGAGTAAGACAAAAGAACAAGACTTGGAAGTGCCCAAGAACTAGATGGTGGAATCTAAAAGAAGAAAAACAAGCCATTTTTCAAAGAGAAGGTAATCACCCAATGTGTGTGGGATAGAGAGGGGGGAAGCTAGCCAAATGTGGGATTCCATGGCTAGTTGTATCCGAAAAGTAGCAAAAGAGGTATTAGGAGAGTCCAAGGGCTTTGCCCCACACCAAAAGGAATCTTGGTGGTGGAATGAGGAGGTACAAACAAAGGTGAAGGCTAAGAAGGAATGTTGTAAAGCCTTATACAAGGAGAGGACCGATGAAAATGGTGAAAGGTATAGAAAAGCGAAGCAAGAGGCGAAGAAAGCTGTCAGAGAAGCTAAGTTAGCGGCTTACGACGATATGTATAAACGACTAGATACCAAAGAAGGAGAGTTGGATATCTATAAACTAGCTAGAGCAAGGGAAAAGAAGACAAGGGACCTAAACCAAGTGAGGTGCATCAAGGATGAGGATGGAAAGGTTCTTGCTACAGAGAACGCGCGGTTAAAGACAGATGGAGAGGTTATTTTCATAATCTTTTCAATGAAGGACATGAAAGGAGTGCTTCTTTAGGAGAGTTGAGTAACTCAGAAGAGTGTAGAAACTACTCCTTTTATCGTCGAATCCGGAAGGAAGAAGTGGTTGTAGCTTTGAAGAAGATGAAGCATAGAAAAGCAATAGGCCCAGACGATATACCAATCGAAGTGTGGAAAGTTTTGGGAGAGACAGGTATAACATGGCTCACTGACCTTTTCAATAGGATTTTGAAAACGAAGAAGATGCCAAATGAGTGGCGAACGAGCACTTTGGTGCCTATCTACAAGAATAAGGGCGACGTACAAAATTGCATGAACTATAGGGGTATTAAGCTAATTACTCATACAATGAAGCTCTGGGAGAGAGTCATTGAGCATAGATTGAGGCAAGAGACACGGGTTTCGGACAACCAATTCGGGTTCATGCCAGGGCGCTCAACCATGGAGGCAATCTATCTCTTACGAAGATTGATGGAAAGATATAGAGATGGGAAAAAGGA